CTAGGGATGGTAGAAGGCGGTTGCTGAATCTGTGATGAAGCCGAGGGTTTCGAAGCCGTATCCGACGGCTGAGGCGGTGTTTCCGGTGGCTGAGTCGCCGTCGAGATTGGCCGTGGCTGATCCATGAAAGGGTTAGTGAATGTGGAGGGAAGGGATTTCGGGTTTATAAAAAGATCTATGATCTATCAAACCGGAAATTCCGGTACAAATGATACAACTAAACCGCATCTAATTTTGCTTTTTTGGTCAACAAACCGCATCTAAAATAAACCTGCCTTAATAAATCGTTATTTGTTCCAAATGTACATTACATTAAACCTTTTTTGAAAATATATCATATTTAACTTTTTCAATTTTTTTTGTTTAACATGAAAAACAATTTTTTATTATAAAATTTTCCATCACAAGATTAAAAGAAAAACACTCTACCTTCAAGTTAAAAATTGTTACACATGTTACGAAATTACAGAAATCAATTTAGCATAAAACATGCATAGCTGTTTTCTCAAAAATATAAATTACATTATACTCAAGAAGAACACACAAACAGAAATATATAACTTAAAAAGTTACATAATATAATCTCGTTAAGAGACAACATCAATGTTCATTAGACATGACAGGATCAAATCTTCTCTTCAACGTACCAATCTGCTTAAGACTCAACCCAAAAGCTTTTACAAGCAACTCTTCATTAATCCCTGACCCAAAAACCAGCGACGGTATCTTATGAATCCCAGGGCTTTGGCTATTAAGTCCGCCGAGAATCGTGGCCGTAACATCTCCAACGTTCATCTGAAAATGCACAAGCCCTTTTGGGTAAACCATCATTTCTCCTGCTTCCATCACTTTAGCGTAGACCTTATTGTTTGAGTCCACGAAACCGGAGTAAACTTGTCCTTTGACCAAGTGGGCTACTTCGGTAGCCCGCGGGTGGTAATGTGGCGGGTTTATGGCTCCGGGTTTGAGATCAGCCCGTACAAAAGACATGCCTAATGTGTTTAGGCCCGGGAAGTTGGCCGGGCTCACTGGGACAGTGGCGAACCCTGTCTCGGTGAAGATTCCGGCTGTTTTTAGACCGGAAAAGACAAAATCTTCTGTGGTGACTTCGGAGGAGTTTTTGCAAGGGAGATTGGTGGAGAAGTGATCGTGGTGAGGAAATGTGATTGGTTTTGGTATACAGAAGTCTTGAATCGGGTCGGGGTCGGAAGCTAATGTGAAGCAAACGTTGAAACAGAGAAGAAGAAGAGCTTTTAGAAGAACCAAAGTCTTTGCTTCCATCTTCTTACTTTGCTTTGAGGCATGAGGATGACTTGTGTTATGTCCGGTTTAAATAGACAGATATTTGGAAGGGCTAAATGAGAAATTGTGGTTAATCCGGTTAACTTTCTGTTACATTGTTTGTTTACCGTGGATAAACCAACACCAAACTGCCATTCTTCTATATAAACCAAGATAGGATTATATCACAAATCAACGCAATTGTGCACAAAATTCAAAATGTAACCGGAATCCAAGGTTTTGATCCCGGTTTCAGCCCGGTTTATTATGTGATTTTGGTTAAGGTGTAAGCAAAAGGGCAAAGAGTCATGATGTGGTCCAAATGTATCACTTGGGCCGAAACATAGGCACGTATTAGGCGTGCTATGTGCGCACGCCATGAAATAAAGTTACATTATACAAAATGATGAATTTTGTGGCCTATGCTTTTTGTTATGTATTGATATTGTAAGAAAAAAATATTACTATTCCAACGCATGATTAGGAACATAAACATCGTTTATCGGTGGTAAAGGTTTAGGAAGACAGATTAATGGGCCAAAAACTCAATCATGTCTTGATTTGCCATCTCTTTTGAATGAAGTTTATCACACTCCTTTCTCACCAAATGTTCACAAATTGAGCTAGTTACATTATCACAAACAATTGTTTGTAATGTTTGCAAGAATTTTATTACATGCTTTGCTCCAAATGGTTATGGTGTACTACGAAGCAAAAACGGACGGAACGTATTAAACATGATTAGTGTAGTTTTGTACTACATTCCTGGTACGTTCCTCTACTTCGGTTCGTATAGTATAACTATTCGGAGCCAAAATTAGATAGATATAAAAACCTAGAATTGGAAGAATTTTTTTGGAATGAAGTAGCTAGTCGACTTGCTTATAAATCTTAACTTTCATTAATTTCTTATCGATCCCCTGTAACGTCACCAACTAGATACATTGTTAAGGTTCCAATTTTTGATATTATTATTACAACTATTCCTTCATTTGCAAAGTGAATAAAAAAATTGAGTGAAGACAATGGCAATGATGTTAGGTATGCGATGGTTTGCTGGATTTGCTTTTGAAGGAAGTTAAAATAAAGAAGTCAGACAATGATGAACAAACAATAGTTCCTATCATCATTATGTTCTTGTATCTACATTGTCTTACACAATATG